CTGTGTAAGATAATTGAAAATGGCAGAAGAACATTGAGAATGTGAGTTCAATTATAACAACCCTGCCAACTTCAGTTTCATATTTTACTGAAATAATATAGAGCAAAGTTAATGTATGTATTTATGTTTGTACATATGCAGAGAGGTAGCAGGCTGATAGGTAGTCCAATAAGCTGTTTAGTTGAATATCTTATACTACAAAGATGGATTAGTACAGTAAGGTGCTTAGCATGCTATCAGCAATGTGTATACATTGTTATCCCACAAACTGAACTTACAATGCTTTTCTCCTGCCATGCTGCCAATTCTCCCATATTAACCCTGCAATTGTTCGACCTTTACCCACACCAGCTCCATCTCCAATAAAGAATCCTGCTCTGGAACCATTAGGAAGATGTTGTAGGTGTCTCTGCAATAACAAATCTGCATTGTCAGACAAGGGAAGCTAACAAAGAACAGGATAAGCCCTACCAAAAAAATCAACCTGACAAGCATAAACCAAAGTCTCAATCTGCAAGCATGACAGAGCATTTGAACTTTCCAAATCATCCCTGATTTTTAGATCATAAGTTGGCTCCGGCGGCTGCACTGCGGATAAAGAGGATGTTTCAACAATAGGATCAGGATGTGAAGGTCCAATTGATAGTTTCGGAGGATGCTGCATGGAGTTCACATTTTAAGTCATCAGACTAGTTGCTAAATCCTTTAAGAGAACTTTAAAGCATGAAGTCTAAAGGCACCACACTTACATAATCCATAAATGTTTCCCCTACAGTGCCACCTTCATCTTCTTCACGCTCCACTTCAATCGCTACCTGACCGGTTTTAGCATTTACAGAAAGAGAAAATAAGAAATTTAACCAACATAAAATGAAGCATAGAGCAGGAAAATGGGAAAATATAGACAAAATGTTCACTCATTACAAGAGGAGATTCCTTGCAAGTTACTAAAATCTTCAAGAACTTTTTACTGACAGCAGCTTAGGAACTAGGCATGACAATCATCAATCAAATAAATTTTTACTCATAGAGACGCTGAGTACGAGGACATCAGCAGCCCTTTTGTTTACCAGTAATGACATTTATTTGAGAAGACAACGAATATATGTTAACAAGGCACCAAGGGAGTGCCACCCATGTACAAGAAGCTCTACAAATCTGTCTTTTCCTTCCAAAATTCCTACTAAAATATTTAAGATCTTACCAGGTCAACAACAAAATATTTAAGATCTTCCTCGTTTCTCTTATCTCCTTCGATACCTTGTAGGTCATATTGAAGGAGGGGAACAGAAGGGTTGTTGAGGACATTGCTTTCCCTTCAGGTAGAGTCAGGATTTGTGCCATACCCTATCTTTGTTAAGAGTTATTCGAGCCCAAATCTTCAACCACAAGACCTGTCGTCACCTAACCCAAATCAATGAACTCAAGGCAATTGCAGCAAAGAAGAAAACAAAAAAGACTCCACAAAAAAGAAGTTATAGATCTCAGCTGCCTGCAAAGGTAACACCCATTCACTACAAGCTTCCTTTTTACCAAAAAGTGTCAATACTAATAATTCTTCCTCCAAACACCTCCCAACCGATGAAAGTGTTTCAAGGAGAAGCATTTAGCTTCCAAATATGCTTTGAAGGAAAATAAAAGACCTCAGTCACGATATTATCCATGCTTCTAGCCAAAGGGAACACAATAGGGAACTTTTGGTGCCAATCCCCACCATCACATTACTTATCTAGCCAAAGAACTCATCTCCACCAAGAATTGACCCTCATACTTATGCAGCCATAGAATTCATCTCCTTCAGAATTAATTTTCTTCATTTGCCCTAACCATGTAAATCCCTAGACTCATAAACCATCCAATCAACACATCAAGCCCAAACTTCGCGCTAATCACCTTTAGCCACAGCCTCATGGATCTTCAAATTTATTTCTCAAGTAGTGCTTTGTTGGATCTAAGAAGAAACCTAATAGCAAGCAACCCCTTTGAAAAGGAAGATTAATCATATCACAAGCCACCAAGTGGTTTACTCGTAAGACACAAACAAGCAGTGGACAGCATGATGGGGGAGTTTCACCATGCCTTTGTTTAAAGAGGAGATAGATTTTGGAGGCAACTTTGATCACCTATTAAGAGGTCAACACTATGCAAAAGAATAATGAGGGAATTAATTTTCAAGCTTGGTATGTAGAAACCTATGATCATACCTTGGGCATTTTTGCTCTATATCTTTTAATAGTCATGGATATGAGGATGGATGGTTCTTTTATTTTTTTTTAATGTAGATGGTTCTTCTTTATTAAAGAAAAGGGAAATATGTGTTTCTACATCTCTTTGATCTCTTCTCAAATCACAGCTGAAAAAGACCCTCCAAAGTTCTTTGGGGAAGTAAGAGAAAATTGACAGAAGCATCAGTGTTATGTCTTCCAAACTTCCCCAAGGTATTTGAAGTGGCTTGTGATGTGTCTCAAGCGGATATTGGTGGTGGACTTAGTCAAGAAGGACATCCAATAGCTTACTTTAGCGAGAAGTTTAGTGATGCAAAATTGAGGTATAAAACATAAAATAAAGAAGTTTATGTCATCACCCCCAACGCTTAGGCATCAACATTTTTTTTTTTGAAATAAAAAGTGTAAGAAGAATATTAAGTAAAAGGCACCAAGAGAGCGTCGCCCATTTATAAAAAATTTATATGTCAATAAGCATATTTACAATGACCCCAAAATATTCCAATCTATAAAAGTTATATCTCAAAACAACGGAACCAAAATAATGAAACCACCTATTTTTAATCTCAAAAGCCCTATTGTTTCTCTCCTTCCAAATAACCAAAAAAAATGGACAACAGAATGGATCGAGAAAATCTATTCTTCTTACTAAGACCATTCCAAGCCAATAACTCATTTTTCACCAAACCCACCATAGCCCAATTGATACCCATAAGACTATAGACTAGTCCAAAGGTTCTAAGAAAGTGGACACCAGAGCAAAATGTGGTTGCAAGTCTCTGCAAAGCTTTTGCAAAGGAAGCATATATTCACCATTATTTTACCTCTTTTGCAGAATGTGGCATTATTACCTATTCTTGAAAGAGTTTGTCCTCTACGCTAACCACGACATTCTTAAATATGTCCATTCTCAAAGGAAACTTAACCAATGTCTTCCAAACTAGGTGGCTTTCTTGCAAGAGTACACTTTTGCAATCAAACATAGACAAGGAGTAGAGAATCAAGCAGCAAATGCATTAAACCAAATGGCCTTAATACTCACCTCCATGGCTGTCCAAGTTGTGGGATTTGACTTGGTTAAACAAGTTATTCACCATGCAAAGATTTTGGCATAATTATCAACATTTAGCTGGTAGGAAGTGTAATCCTAATTTTTCATTGCACGATGGTTACATATTTAAAGGAATCTGTCTCTGTCTATCTCTCACCAAATCTCTCAAACTAGAAGCATTCTTAGAATTGCATTCAGGAGATATAAAAAAGTCATTTTGGAAGATATAAAACAATTGCTATGGTGGAAGATTGATTTTACTAGGCAAACATAAAAGGATGGCTGATACGATTGCTAGATGTTGTGTCTGTCAAATCTACAAATGAAAGAAGCATAGTGCTAGCTAAACACACCATGCTTGTACATCACGAACCATGGACAGATATAAGCATAGACTCCATGCTTGATCTGCCAAAAACAACTAGAAGCCACAATTCAATATTTGTGGTAGTAGATCAATTTTCTAAAATAGCTCATCTCCATATCATGTGCAAAAAGCTTTGATGATTCTCATGCTGCCAAACTATTCTTCAAAAAAGTAGTTTGCTTACATGGGCTACCCTCATCCCTTATTTCTGATTGTGATACGAAATTTGCAAGTTACTTTTGGCATATTTTGTGAAGGCTATTGTACACCAAACTATATGGTTATGAAACGCATCAACTCAGGAAGGTTCCCTGAGGTTGTTACGAGAAACTTTTTTCTAAAAGCATTGGCCTTCGCAAAATTCTCAAGAAAATTAGCTTAAACGCTTAATTTCTTAATTTGCTAGAAAGTATGAGTATTAATAAGGTCTTCAATGTTGAATATCTTACTTCATATCAAGGAGGTCACCCGACTATTTCTCATGATAGCGTTCCTATTCGTTTGCCAGACATTCCAAAGTCAACGACGAGATTGAAAGAATTGTTGCTTATCATGAGATGGTGCACAAGATGGAGCTTATCACATTTTCTAGTAAATATGAAAAGAATGTCCCTAACCAATTGCAATTGAATTACAAAAGCTTACCTCAAGAAGCTCCAACCCTATCATGCATGTTACATTTTGTGATTTCAACTAGACGAAACCGAGTTCCCCCCTCCCTCCAAGACAATTGATGGTGCACAGCCATAATAGGAATTCATTATTTAATAATTTTATTGTTTTGGTTATTTACAAGTTTGTTATATCTGTTTTACTTATCTTTAGCATTCTTATTTCATTAGAAATATGTTTCTAAATTAGATTGAGTATTTCCTAATCTAGTTTAGGAAAGTTCTACTTAGCACCCTATAGGTTTCTTAACTAGCAAGATGGAAAAATGGGAAGTAACCCCTTTTTTTTCCATCTTTCCACTCTATTTTATCTCTTTGTCCCATTCACTGTTAGGTGGCTAAGCTAAGGAAAGGAAATCTACTTCAGGGAGCCATTTAGTGGCTTCATATCATCTTGTGAAATCAAAAGTAGTGAAGTGTCTTTTATGGGGTGTGGTTGAGGTGGAAACCACTTGTTGGCTTTACAAGGCTCGCCTAGTAAAATGGATCCAGAGATTTATGATAGAGAGTATTATGCAAGAGTAGCAGTGGACATAATGTACCCAACACAGGAAGTGCAAATTTGGTCGATCATAAAGCTGCCTTGGAAATGTTCTAGCAGTAAAATATGGCAGCGAACTCAAGAAAAGAAAAATGTCTGCAGAAAATACCACCAGATGAAAATAAGGTCTATCCCGAGCACATATGTTGTAGAACTTAAAATGTTCTTGCTCATTGTTTCCCATTTCTGCAGTTAATATTTACCGTAGTCACTAGACTCAACGATTCCTTGAACATAGAGGAATACGAAGTTGGTTAATCATTCGATAACATGCATAAACAAGCATAGGAAAATGCAGCAACAGTATTATGGTTAGTAAGTAGTAGTGGTAGCAAGTGACAACATCAAGTTACCATAAATCTTGGGTCCTCGAAAGTGTAAGCAACAAGCAATTGAGACGATGCTAGATAGATATCTTGAGAGAGAAGGAAAGAATATTTAAAAGGAAAATCAAAAAGGAAAAGAAAGGAAAACCTCGTTGACCTCCTCCGGAGGAGGTGGCGGCAGACGAGGGAGGAAGTGCTTGATTTTGGACAAATCGACGGCGAGGTCGACACCACACTGAGGACAGGAAAAGCGAGTGAGGCCATGGGGAACGTTGAGGATGGCCTTGCAGTGGGCACAGGGCAACTGGATCTTCGTGGGATCGATGCCATGGGCCGGCACCTGAGCGGGCAGATTCGGCGACTTCTGCTGTCGGCCAATGAGCTCCGGAGGCAGCATTTGGGGCATCTGACAGGTAGGGCAGACGAACTCTGTGACCCCGGGCGCCACTGTCAGGATCATACGGCAACCGGCACAGCGCACCTGCACCCCAGCGCCCTGTGATGGGGGTGGTGGGGGTAGCGTAGGTGGCGGCACCGGCGGTTGCGTCATATTGGAGATTTGATAGTGAGAAGAGGGGGAGTCTGGATGGAATGGAATGGAAGCAATGATTTGTTAGGGCGCGAAAGGTTTTTGCTTCGGGTTCGGGTTTATTTGGTGTTTTCCTCACTGAGTCACTGGCTCGCTCTGCTGCATATTTGGTTGTCAAAAAGAACAGGTTCAGAGAAAGAGAAATAAAAGCAGCCCAAGTAGCGCACAGAGACAGGGAGATATGGCTCCCTCTCCCATGCCCCAGCGGCCAAGTTCCGCTGTCGTAGTTAATCGAGTCCTGCGTTTAGAATTTTTTCCTTTAATTTTTATAGAT